TGGTGAGAAAAACATTAGCAAGACATTTTATTGTCTCTAATCTAAAGATGAAAGATTTTCCAGGTGGTGGGGGACTTAGAGAAATGGTGACAAGTAAATTTAATTTCATACTGGGAAACAAGTTACTTTAATGTATTTAAAGCTTGAAGGTAGTTATTTTTTTTAAATCCTGAGGAATTGGACACTATCATTAACTTTTCCTTTTTTTTTTTCTTGTTTTCCCCTCAGTCTCAGGCAGCAAAATAACATATCAAAAAAAAAAAACCACATTTATTTCCATGTCATTACACCTATATTCCCTCCATCTTATCATGAGTTACTCTGTTGCTTTAATCTTTGCATTTCAAAACTATGAATTTAAGGGACACATAATTATTTTAGTTGTATAGCCAGATATACATGATTCTAGATTAATCACAGCTGAAATTTTCTTTTCAAGAAAAATCTTTTATCACTTCTACCATACTTTCTTGTTCTTTCAGCAAAATCAGGAGTAAACACAAACTTCTGGATTTCTCTGAAGTCAGTCTTGACAAGCTGTTCTCTAAACAAAAATACGCTATTGTTTTTTGAGGGGAAAAACTCTAATCTTTATGTCTTATTGAATTCCTGGATGGCATCTCATCCTCAGGTATCGTGATCTTGCAGCTCAGAGAAGCAGCATTCTTGATGGGCAGCTGCAGTATGGGCATCCTATCTGACTAGGATGTTCTTTCTCCCAAACAAGGACTGAATTCTACATTTAGACGGTGACTGTTGAGTTCCTTCTTTGGAGCATAATGTAGCATTCTACTAGGTAACAGAACTTCTTTTTTTTCTTTTCCCTTCATGTGCTTCAAACCTGCTCGAACCACCCAGGGCTCTTTGAAGTCAAAGGAAGCTCTGAACCCACGGAAACTCTGATGTCTGGGGCAGACACTCCCAAGATAAATGAGACAAACAGAAAGGAATGTTAGGAGAAAAAGAGGTTGAGCCCTTTGAATATCTTACACCATCTTGATGTCCCAGTGGTTGGGAGAATATTGTACACAGATCAGCAAGTCATGACGGGTGGAAAAGGACAGAGTAAATATACAATAAGAAGAGGTTGATACAGTTGAACTCTATCTTGACCAGGAAATGAAAATTCATACATCAATGCAACAATTATTCTGTTCTGATTGGAGATGCCAACTTTGAGTCAGGAAACTAAGGGTCAGAAGGCATAAAAACCAAACCCTGGACTTTTCACTTGTTTCGGTTTTCTCATCCTGATAGCATATTGGAAAGATAAGTTTTGTTTAGATTTTTGCCTTTAAAGATCCCCAGTTCCAGGAATATTAACATTTAGAGTTACAGTGCATTCTTCTATGGTACATACAAACTAACCAAAATCAAATTATACATTAAATTGCTATCCACTGGTCTCGAATGCCTCTACCCAACGACTGCCTAATTCTGTGAAATCTCTGCCTTGCTTCCATGCAAAGTGAGAACATGCAAAGGCTGAGATGAATCACTTATAACTCACAAACATACAGACGCTGCTTCTTTTTTTTTTTTTTTATTGATCTATTCATGCCCCGAAGGAAAGAATCACAGGATATAATTTGTTTTCATTCAGAGTATTTTATCAAGCCAGAATAGGATACAAGAGTCATGCATTTATAACTAAAACATTGTAAACTGTCTAACATATTTGTTAAATTTACTTGCAAATATTAAGTGTTTAAATCACTCTCAACGCAGACATACTTCACACATACCAGGCATAACTTACTGGCGCAAATGTGTTTACACAGCTGTAAAATCCCCAAATTAACTATCAATCAGGAAAAGTAAAAATATTGCTATGAGAACAGGAATGTGAGATTTCAGCTGCTCGAAGAAAATTACAAAGGGATTCCTGTGACATGACTTTAGATGGCATCAAGTTTGTCACTGATTTTTTTTTTACATAATTCTGTTTTAACATCTCCCTAAACATAATAGTTTCACGAATTCAGCAAAGCTACTGACCAACTCATCTATCTTCACCACTATTGTCCCCAGATTTCAAAATGCTAAGGTAGAAAATAATTACACATACACATGCACACACACAAGCAGACTTAATATTGTATCATACAGGTTATTTATACTCAATTTGAAAGCTTCCTTTTTTTTTTCCATGGGAAATATTCAATGGAAACTTAACTACCTGGGTTTTATCAAATCTATTCTTATTTAAATTTAGATTTAATAATAACAAAATGCTGTACAATCTCATATAACATCTATTTCTATTTATTAACAAAAATGGATGGAAAACCATGAGTCTTTAGAAAACTATATTTATGAACAATAATAGCTATGAAGATATTAGCCATTTGGGTTCTCACCTTTTGAAAAGTTTCTCATGAAATGTAAGAAAGAAAAACTAGCCTTCTTTGCATTTTTCATATAGTAAGGCATATGCTATTTTGATTTAAGCTGCATATTGTTAGAGGTAAGTTGTGAAATATATAAAATCTGCCAAGGACACAGAAGGCAATTCAGTCAAGAATAATTGTGTCAACTTCCAACTCAGATTAAATTTGATTTTTTGAGCATTGAAAGTGAGGTCACAAAGGGTATTTTTAAATCTATGCTTGTTCAATTGCCACAGTTGAGTTTTTATACTAAAATATATTTATCCTAATCAGAATAAATTTGAGCTTTATATTTGATTAAACAAATGGCTTAGAGTCAAGGAAGTATCTCAGGTCTAATGAAACCCCCTGTGGTTTTACTTACTTTGAAAGGAAAATTTTCTTTGTTTCTTTTTACACCTTATAGTATTAACATAAAAATGATATAATTTCAAATAAATGTTTCAGAGGAAAACACCTATCAAAATCTTGACCTGTAACTATTCTCAATATTACATACTATCATGGAGATTGGGGTAAATATACACATACTGGCAGAGAGTAGCTATCATGCTAACTATGAACATTTACAAAGCACTTATTTTTGTTTCTTCTAGTTTCTTCTAGTCAATCTAAAATTCTCATCAGGTCTCAACTCTTTCACAATAAGGAGGAGGAATAACATTTCTTTAGAGCCTTTTTTGTGCAATGCTTTCTAAAGGCATACATACATCATAATTAATCTTATTTCACAGAGAAGGAAGCCAAGGTTCAGACATGTCCACTTAGTGAATAACAAAACTGGAACCCAAGCAAAATGTGCTCAATGTCAAAGCTTTTAAATGATAAGCTAACGTTTTGAGGTCTGTGTTACATTTGACAGTCTTAAAATTATAATTCTATTTGGGGATCTTAGCTTCTGTTTTAAAAAGCAAAAGCTTACAAAACAAACAAAACCAGAAAACTATGCACTAGCCTTAATGGAGCTGTTTATTCTATGTTACTGGGAAGGACTCAAGATCTTAACATTGAGGCAATGGGCTCTCTTTCTTCAACAATAAGCAATCCAAATAGAGGTTCCAGGATCTATGCAACAGTAAGATTATGCTCTCGAAAGAATCTGAGCACAGCACTTTTTTTTCGTCTGTTAATTTTTTTAGGGTGAACTTTCTATACAAATTGTCCTCCGAATAGGCATGATGTTTTCTCATTGGTAAGGTGAAGTCGAGGCCAGTCACCTTACAATGGAAACTGCAGCCGAAGAGTATTTGTTTCCTAACAGTCCTAACGTTAAGTTTGACATGGAGCGTTTTCAGAAACATCTCCTCATGTCTATGCTACCATAGGGAACCACCATGAGAGAGCACTAGACTTGGAAAGAGGATGCCTACATCCTGTTCTTGCTTGGTCACTTACCAGCTGGCTGATCTTGCCCAAATCACTCAGTCTGCATCTATCCAATAGAGAAGAAAAGAACTGAATGCAGTGGTTCCCAAACTGTGCTGCCCAGTGGAATCGGCCGCAGAGCTTTTTAGAAATCCCACTCCCCAGGCTGTTCCCCATAGGGGTTAGACCAGAATGTTCAGGCATGTTCAGGAGCCAGTGCTCAGGAGTTTTTAAAGATCTTCAGGAGATCCCAATGCGCAGCAAGGCTTGGGAGCCACTCCATTGATTCATACTTTCATAGAGCTGCTTTTATGACAAAAAACAAAAAATGGAGGAGCTTTGTATATTATATAGCACTTTACAGAGTGATATAAAACACTATCCCCAAACTAGGCACAGTGCTACAAAAAATAATAATAATAATAAAAATGCATTGTTTTAGGGAGCTTGCTCTTTTTTCAGATTTTAGTTTAGTAATCATTAAGAAACTATACGCAAATAATCAGTTTTACTTTTTTGCAGAAAGCTTAACAGTTGTTTTTTTATTTTTATTTTTAGCTGTCTTCAACATTATTTTAACTTTATTTTTTGCTTAACTCTTTCCCTTCTCTACTAAAAATTAAGAAAAGTGTCATCTGTCTTGTTTCCTTCAAAAAATATCAAACACTACACTTTTATTATGTGTTTATAATAACCACAAAAGAACATTAGAACTAATGTGCAGAAAAGAAATCTGAACAGTCAGAGGAAAATAATTTTTCCAAAGTTACTTCATTCAATTCTACTGCTTGTTTAAAACAAACAAAAAATTATGCACGCCAGATATTTTGTTCCAACATTCTGCCATAACGACTGATTTGGAAACAAAGACCTTTTCAGTAAATCTTTCTTGCCCAGATTTTGCTTATTGCCTGATGACATAAATTATTTCTCTGCTAAATTTTTCATCGACAGATCAGATTCGACCAGTTTACACACAGTACTTGTTTTGTATTAATACCAACAATTTCCATAACCTTCCATTCAATTAGACTTACGAAAAGGATTGTGTAATTTAAGTAATTAGAGTTACTGCCTATTAACCTAATTAACACTGCCTAACTGAAAAGCACCCTCTGTGTTCTGTTGTTATTAGAGACATTAACATGTCCATTCACAACAAAATTCTCACATGAAACTCCATTCATAAGCAGCTACAAAGCGGATCCACTTCCTGACAGAGATTTTTGCCTTGGGATCTTTTACCTTTGTGGGCTTGTTAGCCTCCATGCTCTCTTTGAATTTCTCCTGCACAGTTTCTGCAAGTTGGCAGAGCAGGGCACCATTGTCCAATTTCTCCATGAAAGTTTCCGCTGTTATCTCCTTCCCTGCAAAGGCAAAAAGCAGCATTATATAAGCATTCCCCGACGCAAACGTGAAACGCACACCAACGTATCTGATGCAGTTTTTATGACCGACATTTCTATTCCAGCCGAGTTACATATCTGAGATAGGAACTCACTGGAAAGGAGTTTCTTTGGAATTTTATGGTTTTTTTGGTTGCAAGAATCTCAACATTTATGTCTTCATAATAGAGTTTCAAGTGCATAAAAATTTTATTTCACATTAAAAGTGGCAAAATGATATCATGGGTGAAAGAGTCCCACCATTTAGCAATCAAGAGAAATAAAAACCAACCAATGAAACTCAAAGAGCCAGCTTTACCAATAATTATACAATTTGGCCTCTGAGAGTCATTCCACTCTCATCCTCAGTAGCCCATTCAATTACTGTGGCCTGCAAAGCAAGGGCACGAAGCAGAGCTGGTATTTCATGTTACATATGCATCTTTGATTACAAGAACGCCACAGCTTTCTTTCCTTTAATTTGAAAGAGAGCCATGCTATATCAAAAATCAACCACCATTGGCAACTTTAATAGCTTGGCAAAGCACAAAGTCACATCTCTAAATTCTATTGAATTTGTTTTCCAGATTAAGATGATACAGGTAAAACCAACGCAAGTGACAAAGTCTCTGTAAGAAAACACCACCTCTCCAACCATTCACCCTCCTACCACAGTCCTTGACCTGTGGAATCACCAGGTTCAGGTCTCTGCTTTTTGCTCACTCCTCACAACCATTCTCACAGCTTCAATGACTGCCCTCAGGAACATGATTCACAGTCGTTCATCTCTGACATTTAACTGGTTAAGGGTTATTTCTCATCTTCTTTCTTTTCCTGAGGAAGATTCACCTGAGCTAACATCCATTGCCAATCTTCCACTTTTTGTATGTGAGCCACCACCACAGCATGGCCACTGACAGACGAGTGGTGTAGGTCCACGCCTGGGAACAAACCCAGGCTGCTGAAACGGATCACCCCCAAATTAACCACTAGACCAGCAGGGCTGGCCCTTTCTTCTTTCGTACATGTCCCAAAGCAGATTTTCTTTCTTTTTTTTTTCTTTCATTTTGTTAAAAACTTTTTTTGTGATATAATTCACATACTTTACAATTCACCCATTTAAAGTGTATAATTCAATGGCTTTTAGTATATTCAGAGTTGTGTAATCATCACTACGACAATTTTAGAACATTTTTATCACTCCCAAAAGAAGCCTTGCACCCTTTAATTATCACTGATTTCTTCATTCTGTGGCCCTATAAAAGCACTAACTTTTTTCTTATATGCTCCCCAAACTCAACTCTCCCAAAATTCTCTCCTTTTCCTAGTTCTGTAATTCTCTAAGTTTCAGAATATTTTATTTTCCTGCCTTAATTTCCTGTAACTTATTAGTCACGAGTCCTGCAGATTCATGCTTCCTTCTGTTCCTGGTACCATCATCTTAATAAAAATTTTCATGGTCTAACACTTAAACCTCTAGAAACAAGAACAGTGGCTACTCCTGTATCCTCAACTTCCCTCTCCGAAACATATCATACTCATTGCTAAAACTACTATTGCTAGACAACACCCTCACTGGGTCATTCTTCATCTTTATTGCATAGTCCCTAATCTTTTACTCTACCTAGAAGATGAAATACATCCCCTCTAACCCAATCTCCAAAGGCCTCTCTGTATGTCTCTACTCCGCCTTTCTACTCTAACATCGTAGACCCTGCTCCTTGCTCTGCACCCTGCCTTCACAGTTCCTCTAGCAGGCCTGCCCATCTCTACTGTCCTGGCTTTGTTCCTGGCACGGCCCCTGCCCGCAGTGTCCTCCTACCTTCTATCTGCCTGGCCAAGTTCTATCTTTCCTTTAATTAGAAATCCAGAAAGAGACCCTCCCCATGTACATTGATCTCTTTTCTTTTTTTTTTCCTCCCCACAGCCCCAGTACATAGTTGTCTATCCTAGTTGTAAGTCATTCTAGTTCTTCTATGTGGGATGCCACCACAGCATGGCTGATGAGTGGTGCATAGATCTGTGCCCAGGATCCAAACCAGCAAACCCCAGGCCACTGAAGCGGAGCGTGCAAACATAACCACTCGGCCACAGGGCCGGCCCCTGATCTCTTTTCTATCAGTCATACTCACGAGTACCACTCACTCTGGCACTTATCAAACTTTTTCTATGGCTAGTAACATGTTTGTATAAAGTTCTTATGTTCCTTAACACACTATAAACCTCTTGAGGCATATCTGTGTGTGTGTGTGTTCCTACAGAGGTAAGCATAATGTTACTCACACAGTAGGCACCTAATGAATGTGTTCAGTAAGCACATGAATTAACAAATGAAGAAATAGAATGCTGGCAAACTTTGAGAAAATGTCAGGTATTATTTTTATGAAGAGTAGTTAAGTTGAAGGAAATAAAAAGGAAGTATTTTAAAGTTTTATACTGAGACTTTCATAGGATTAACTTTTATCTTAAGAAAAATGTATGCAGCTCAATTCCATGAACACTTAAAATAAATACAACACAACCAGAACAACAGATAAACTACTGACTTACGTTCAACTCGCAATAACTGATAGATTTGGATTTCGAGAAACATCGGTTTGAAATGATTTTTTTTTTCAGTTTGGGGGGAAGGGCAGGTGGAGAAGGAAAGAGAATTACAGTTTTTTTTTTTAATGTTCTTTTTTCCCCACTGGATAGTTCACATTTTAGCCCCCGGTTAGCATAATGACTTCTGCAGGTGGCAAACATCAGTAGCTCTAAGTACTTACGATGACGGAGCCTACACAGAAATACTATTATTTCCAAATTGTATGCAGCTCCACTCAATGCAGGAATGAAAGTAATAGTCTCAAGATACAAAAAGCCAGCACAACAGAATTAGTATTATGCATTCACCCTATTGGCCTTCATTTTCTAACAATAATAAGAAAGCTATTTTGCACACAAGTCTGAAAAATAAATGTTACAAATACTTTCAGAATTACCAATTAAATTTCAAGGTAAAGCAGGTAAACTTTGAATTGTTGAATGACTCCTCTTTAAATTAAGTATAAGATTTTCTAAATTTGGAAAAGGTTTTTAGATGTCCTTATTTCATTAAGCTCCATGGCAATTTAAAGATTCTATTTCTAATGTTAAGTGACAAGATGATTGCAATAAATTTAAAGGAACTCGTAAATTTTAAAAAGAAAAATGGCTTTCATTAAAAAGTCATTAGCAATTTACCAAAAGGTATGATTTTTTCCTTTTATGCATTATACCTGAAAAATTTTAGTTATCCTGCTTTTCATGAATACTTGAAGAATTTTACATTGAACATCTGTATCTAATGAAAAATATATTAGGTGTCAGCTTTCGATTCTGTATATTTTATAGCTCCAAAAGGTGGGATTTTTTTCTTTTTTTTGGCTAAAACAGACACTATTACATACTTTATAGTTGAAATATACTGACTCGAATGAAGGAAAAATGCAAGACGAGAAGTTTTTTTAAAAAAACCTTCATATATAACATATTTTCCATCCAAAGATTAAGAATCATAAAATATACATTTTAAATGTACTGTATAACTGTAAGAAATCAGTTATAATCTTTGCATGGGATGATATATTATCTCACTCTTTGGTGCATTAATATCGCCAAAAGTACTAAAAAAACAGAATACAAATTATGAATTTTATGTCATGAATTTAACCATAACAAATCCATCAGAAGAGGCTGTGAAGCATTAATTACAATTTCTCAAGCAAACATTACACAAAGTCAAACATCTCTGTTAGGCAGACCAGATCTGCTTTAATCTAAATTGTGTAGCTGGTTTGAGACATTAGGTTATAAATACTAGGAACAGTAGGATTCCTGCAACACAAATTCATTACTTCCTGAACCCCATCTTTCCATGCTGTCGGTAAATTTAGAAAAAGAAAGGGCCATGATTAGCTACACAGTATGCGTTCCAAAACCCCCCATGGATGCCTGAAACCACAGAGAGTACCAAACCCTACAATATACTGTGTTTTTTCCTACACATACACACGTATGATGAAGTTTAATTCATAAATTAGCCACAGTAAGAGATGAACAACAGTAACTAATAATAAAGTTGGCTTTGGGGCTATTATTAAGTAAAGTAAGGGTTACTTGAACACAAGTCCCGCAGTACCTGGACATGGATCTGATAATAGAGATAGCTACTAAGTGACTGACGGGAAAGTGCCATACAGCATGGACACGCTGGACAAAGGGAGTCACGTCCCGGGCGGAACAGAGCCTGAGAGTACAAGATTTCATCAGATCAGCGCACACAATTAATGAACTGTTTACTTCTGGGATTGTCTATTGAATATTTTTGAACCTCAGTTCATTGTGGGTAACTGAAACAGGGGAAAGCAAAACCATGGATAAGGGGTTACTACTATACAGACATGCATCGCTTAACAACAGGGATCCATCCTGAGAAATGCATCATTAGGTGATTTCATCATTGTGCAAACATCTTACAGCATACTTACACAAACTAGATGATGGTATAGCTTACTACATGCCTAGGCTCTATGCTATTAATCTTATGGGACCACCATTGTATATGTGCTCTGTCATTAACCAAAATGTCATTGTGTGGCACATGTAATTAAATCATCTTGGAATACTGACCCACACTGGGTTGTAAAGATTATTGACTTGAAGGTTAATATAAAATTGCCAAGTCTAGAAGTAATATCTTTACTTGCTGGGTCCATAATTATGGACTTTGATCTTCATGCCATCAATTCAGTCACGACTGACAGTTTGCCAGTAGACAAAGATCAGAAGGTTTGGTTAAATATTGTGGTTAGTCACTTCCTCTTACGATATTAGGGCACAAGGATATGAAATAAACATCTACCCAAAATCTTTCGTCAGATAACTAAGATCAAAATGCATGCTTGTACACACCAGTGTACTCCTCCCATACCATAATTTCCATACAGATTAAGTATCAA